AGGCGGAGAAGTCCTGCAGCTGTTGAAACTCAGCAGGTGAGAGCTTTTCCCAATGTAGTGACATCCTCACCGCCACCCGGACCTGCGGGGAAACGAAACTCGTGTTACTTCGGGAAGAGGGATAAAACGACGAGGAGGAAAATTAAAATGGAAAAAGAGGAAGAGAAGGAGAGTGAGGAGTGTTAGGAAATGGAAAAGATGAAAAGCAGGAGAATGAGGAGTATTTGGAAGAGATGGCGATGATGAGGATGAAGCAAAATAAAAATGAGGAAGAAAAATGGTGATAGGATAAAACGAGGAGAGAGGGATAAAACGACGAGGAGGAAAATTAAAATGGAAGAAAAGATGAAGAGAAGGAGAATAAAGAATATTTGGAAAAGATGGCGATGATGAGGGTGAAGAGGATAAAACGACGAAGAGGAAAATTAAAATGAAGAGAAAGGGAGTGAGGAGTGTTTGGAAATGGAAAAGATGAAAAGCAGGAGAATAAAGAATATTTGGAAAAGATGGCGATGATGAGGATGAGGATGATAAAAATGAGGAAGAAAAATGGTTAGAGGTATTAGGATAAAATGAGGAGAGAGGGATAAAACGACGAGGAGGAAAATTAAAATGGAAAGGATGAAGAGAAGGAGAATAAAGAGTATTTGGAAAAGATGACGATGATGAGGATGAAGCAAAATAAAAATGAGGAAGAAAAATGATTAGAAGTATTAGAATAAGACGAGGATAGAGGGATAAAACGACGAGGAGGAAAATTAAAATGGAAAAGATGAAGAAAATAAAAATTAGTATTAGGGAAATATAGTGATGATGAGGATGATGAGAACTGAAATGAGGAAAGAAATATGGTGAGAGGTATTAGGATAAGATGAGGAAAGAGGGATAAAACGACGAGAAGGAAAGAATATTAAAAGAATAGAAATGAGGAATAATAGGAGAAGATGGCGATGATGATGAGCAGAAGAACGAAAATGAGAAAGAGAAATCTTGAGAGGTATTACGATAAGACGAGGAAGGAGACGAAGATGGAAGAGAACGATAAGGGAAGAGAAGAAATTGAAAAGTATTAGGAAAAGCGAATGATAAAAATGGGAAAGAAAAATAATGATATATGTTTGGATGAGATGAAGAGGAGGGACAAAGAGGAGGAGGGAAAAAGAGAAGAAAAAAAGTGATAAATATTAAGGAAAGAAAAAATATAAAAGACACTAGGAAAAGATAAAGAGGAAACGGCAAGGAGGAAAAGAAAGGAGAAAATGAAAATAGAGAAGAAAAGAGTGAGACGATGATCATAATGAGGAGGAGAAGAACAAAATGGGAAAAGAAATATAGAAATATTAGAATAACATGAAGAAGGAGGACTAGGAAAAGGAGGAGAAAAAAGGAAAAACGAAAATGAAAAAAAAATAGAAGTACCGCGAAAACTGATGACAATAAATAAAGAAAATAAAGAAAAAAGAAAAGCATCAGTAAAAGATGCTGACTATGCGATGGATAAGAATAAAAAAAACACGAAAATCTAGGAGAATAAAGAATAAGAAAAGAGAGGTAATCAGCGAAAATGAGGAGAAGGAAGAAACGGATAATGAGAACGAGGGAGCGATATTGGTGATGCGAGAAACACGAGAGTACCAGAGGTCTTATGGGAGGAAGAGTAAGGGAAGTGAGGTAGAGATAAGGGAAAGGGAAAGTCCAGGGGGGAGTGGGTAAGGGGGTTTAAGCTGCGTCCTAAGGGAGAGAGGGGGGAAGGGAGAGGAGGAGGAAGGGGGAGGGGGTGTGAAAGAGAGAGGGAGGGAGAGGGAGGGAGAGAGAGAGAGAGAGACAGAGACAGACAGACACACACACACACACACACACACACACACACACACACACACACGCACACACACACACACACACACACACACACACACACACACACACAGACAGAGAGACAGAGACAGAGCCAAACAGACAGAAAGACAGACACATAGAAACAAACAGACACAAACTGACAGACAGACAATCAAACCAAGAAGGAAACCGCAATTTTATAGAAGGAAGGGTGGAAGGGATAAGGCCGAACGAAAAGGAAAAAGGAGAGAACGAAAGAGATGATGGAGAGTGGATGTTATCTCTCAAGTGGATAGAGATGGACGTAGAGAGCTGTGGAGTGGATAGAGACGGATGTGGCACAAAAATAGCTGTGTGTCTTTTCATTTCGTCTTTGAATTGGGTGGATGGCAACGAAGGAACTAATGATGATGTTAAATGTGTGATAAAAAAACGAAAAAAAAAAAATCAAGTTGAAAAAAATATATATATACATACTTTAAGAGATATTATTTATTAATAGATCGAAGAAAAAAAAAAACAGAAACAAAAACAACAACAACAAATGTTCTGCCATTCTCGTAGCAGGGAAGAATGAAGAATTTGTTGCCAGGTAAGCAAAATGTTGTCTTTGCGAGGACGAGGAAAAAAAAAAAAGTTGAAAGTTGTGTTCAAAGGAAAGTTG